CAACTCAACGAGTTAAGGGTATTAATGATATTATAAAGAAGTATATAAACTTGCAAAGCAGTTTAGCAGATTTTTTTTAAGGTATTCAGAATTTTCTTCAAAATCAAACTACTAAATCTGAATATTATGATTGGATAGAATCATTACTATATACATATACCACAACATCTGCATCATAACGAATTTTTCTATGCATAATTGAAGAATTAAAAATACACCTTATATCAGAAATGTATCTTATTCAAAAAGCACAACTCGATATAAGCTTAGAATATAATGCTGTTTTAGTCCCGCAGGAAGAATTAAAAACTATTACAATAAGTTTATAAAAAAAACTTATTTGATAGTATTTAAATATTTATACATCTAAAATTATAGAACTATGAACTATATTCTTTATATATAATATATATACGTATTACAGTTTATTATATTTTTATTTAAGAGTTAATATTCTTTGAGCATTTAGTTAAATTAAAATAATTAAACTAAAAAAATAATTCTGTAACTAAATAAATTATTTATTTTGTTATATATTAAATTGATGATTCTATTTATTAATATTAGGATATTGAAGAAAATAATCAAGATACAAGTAACCAAACTAATATAGCACAAATATCATTAAAATCTCTTATCAATAAAGTTAATCAAAAAAATATTCTTGAAGCGTGGCATGTTATCTATCTTGCATATAGTCCAAATTCAACACCTTATTTTGTTATTCTTTTATTGGATCGAAAGCATATTTGCACCTGTTTGATGATTTTGAATTGTGGTCTAGTATGCCAGCACTTCTTTCAGATTATGATTCATAGTATAGAGACACAATTTAATGTTTCTTTAATTAGAAGGTGATGGCTTAAATTAGAATTTCAATATGATAATCTAAAATTAGATAATTCCGAAACTTTTAATGAAACTGAATCTGATCTGGATCTTACTATTATCTATGCAGAACAAATATTTATAGATATTAATGGAAACCTTTTATATATTAATATATCACAATCACTGACGGTTCTTGATATACTTAGAAATGAAGGTTCAATAGATGAAATTAATATTAAGATTAAAGAATATCATTTATATAGTGATCTATTTGGGCTTGGCTGTAAAATAGCTCAAGTTGTCACTAAAAAATAATAATTTGATATATTAGAAGTCTTCGATCAGATTTTAGACGAATTACATGAAGATGAAAATACAAATAAATCAATTCAAAAACAATTATCAATCTATATATTGTTAAATTAAAAGGAAGACCATGAAATAAAAGATTTAAAAGCTCTGTTGAAACTAATAAAAGCTTTAATAAGAATAATAACCCGAACATTTATATTCAAAATAATAAAGATAAGGCTGGTTTTCAAAATATAATTAATAATGGAAGTAAGGGATCAAATACTTGCAGCAATTGTAATGTAACTAGTCATAATATTTGACAGTGCATAGCTCCATGCAAGCTATATAAAAAAGAAGGCCATACTTACGTAAGATGTAAAAAAAAAAAACTGAGAAGACAGTCATCTTAATTAGAATTTTATCTATAATATTATTTATAAATCTTTTTATTTCAAAATATTTTGAAATATCAAAGGATAATTCTTTTGAAGACCGTATTGTTATTTTAGATATATTAATTTTTTTTTGTTACAATCTTTATTCAGTAATATATGTGGAAGAATGAATTAGCTTTATTGTATTGGTTGTGTCGATCTTTAAATAATTAGATCGTTAATATAGTAGATATTGCAATTTTGGATTTTTAACATTAACAATACAAAAGATATAAAGCTTATGAACTTTACTGGATATAGCTTCGAAAAATAGCAACAGTACTAGAAATCTATTTATTTAGAATAATTCTGTAGAAATTTTAATATATAGAAATATATAGAAATTAGTTTTCTATAATTTGAAGTTTGAAACACAATCCTAATAAAATTTATTACAGCAATTCACAATTAAGCAGTATAAAAATTGTTTATTTGAAGTTGAGTTCAAGCCCATAAACGCTTAATATTAAAGATTACCTTCTAGATATTTTTTTTGTATTACCTTTTTTTGTAAGTATAAAGATTTTTATTAACCAGTAATTCAAGTTTATAAAACTTATTACTAATATTTTTTTCTGAAGTACTATTTGTATTAGTAATGTAAACGTAAAGGTTATTAATCGATTTAAGGTCAGCAATTAACCATTTTCAGGTAATTTTATTTTAATTAGTAAGTATAAATTAAATTTGTTATTATTTCCTAGACAGCTTGCAAATATTTATAGAATTCGTGGTTCAAGTTCGTAGTTACATGAATTATATCTTCCAGGTCATTTAAATTTTGAGTACAAAAATCATTCATTCATTTGCTTAACAGAGCTCTTGATAATTTCACTTGTTAAATAATAATCTACTTAAAGCCGAATTGAAGCTCAGAAATTTTTTAATTGATATCTCAGATAATTTCAATCGTATTTTTTTTTTTTTTTTTTGTAATAAGTATAAAGATCTTTATTAAACTATTTAAGTTGACAATTCGAGTTCAAAAGTATTTACTATCAATATTATCTGGATAACTCATTCTTGTTAAAAAATTGGTAAAGAAAAATCCAGTACAGTATATTTAGCAATCTCATTAGATGAAATATGAAATATTAAAAAAGTTAAGAAATGATGACAACGATAATGGGTATATAAAATTGTGTAAACACTCTAACACCATTGCACTAAAAACCTTTTTTTTTGCGTATAAATCAATTTAAGTCGATGATTTAAATCTATTAGTAAGTATTACTAAGCAGATAACTTATCAATATTTGATTGAACTTTTTAAAATCAGTTATTCAAGCTCATAAGTGCTAACCATTAAACAATACTTTTTAGATAATTTCATTCGTACTAATACAAACCATTATTAATTAGCAATTCAAAATTGTAAGTATTAACTATTTATTAATATTTCTAGATTGTTAATTTATAAAGAATAATTAAAAGGCTTTTCATTCATTTATTGTGCAAAATTTTCTTTATGAATAATATCCGTACTAAGCATTAAACTTAATTTAAAATTTATCTTCAAGATATTTTTATTTATAAGAGTATTATAGTGTTCAATTGTTTATTAAAATAATCTATATGATCTAGATAATGCATTAAATTGCATTTATTCTTTGAGTTAAATAGGTATGTATTAATCAAAATGTTTAAATAACATGTTCATTAGTGCATAATAACTCTTATCTAATTTCATTATATTCGTATTAGTTTAGATTATACGTGTATATATAATTTTACTTCATATACATAAATAGTATACATAAACCAGATTTGTAAAAATTTATTTGATATATGAATATATGAATGGCTGCTACCAAGAAAAACTATATTTGATATACAAATATATGAATAGATGCTACCAAGAAAAATCACACTTTAGCTTTTAAATTTATAATTTACTAGATTCAGTTTATACGATTTTTTAGAGATTGTATCTGATGAATGATCAATTTAAAAGCCAGAAGTGTAGTTTTTCTGTGACACCCAAATAAATATATATACTGGAATACTTAAAGGTATAATCTCAATTTCAAGTTTCTAAAAACTTGACTCGATCAATTTAGTTGATAAATTATTAGCTATACTTAAACACTTTTTATAATTTATAGGATGGTCTAATTTGTTAAAAAACAATCACGATAATTATTTAAGTCAAAAAAAACCAGACCTAACAGCCTTTTTAAGATCTGTATTTCGCCTAATAAATTTTGGCAAGATTATTATATAGATTAATACTTCGATTACTAGTACCTTAATTTCTACAATTTAAGTTCCTAAGAGTTTAAATTCTGCTCAACAAAAACCTGTAAGTAAAAATTAAAATTGTTACTATACCAAACCCAACCCTTAATAATGCATAATGGAACTTAGAACTTTAGTTTACCCGAAAATTTAGCTTGTGCTTTACTTATTTATTTTCTGAATCAGAATATGATTGTTTTCAATGAAATCGATGAGCCAATTTTTAAAAAATCAGATTATTGGATAATGACAGAATGGTCAAGTAGCTGGTGTACCATTCCATCATTATTCTTATCTAATTCAAATTTAATCTTTAGTCACGTATACTTCAGAATAATAGCTTATTCACCAGTTCTTATTATACTTCTATACTATTTTAAAATCAAAGCATTATATAAGTACTATTGAAAAAAAATCTGACTTCAGTTTTTCTGCATAAAAACATATTGGACATGGTTTCTAAAATCTGTGCAATACATAATTTAAGGCAAGCGTATAAAGATTTTTCTAATCATTTCGGCAATACTATATTTAGTAAAAAAATCGGACATCTTTTTTTTTCTTATTTATACATCATTTTTAGAAGCTATGTCTGATACGTTTTTATGCAAAGAATCGAACTCAGGTTTTTTTAGCAGAACTTATATAAAGTTTAGCTTGATCACAATTATGGCTTTTGTTTTTACTTTTGTTTTTTGTTAACAATTCTATTGAAAATTTTCATAACTAAAAAAAATATTAAAATTTCAGATTAGTAGTTTGATTTTGAAGAAAATTCTGAATACCTTAAAAAAATCTGCTAAACTGCTTTGCAAGTTTATATACTTCTTTATAATATCATTAATACCCTTAACTCGTTGAGTTG